CACTGACTTCTGGTGTGATATCACACGTGTGGATTGATCCCTTGTCGTGCAAATTGTAACTTGGGGCGGATAAGTGAAAAACATTTCGTCGGTGGTGTAGCAACAAAATCTCGCCTGACACAAAGTGGGATGTTGGTGACTCGATTTCCCGAAAACGATAACCATGAACTCAACGGAATTCAGCTAGAACAGTAAAATTATGACTTATTTCTCCCAGTTTCCTGATAAGCTAGAGTTAGCAACACATTGATGATGTCCGAGTGTGCAGGGAAAGAAAGAGAGCATCATGGAAAACTTATTTAGCTACCAAGCTTTCCGGTTTCATAGAGCGTTGTTCTGATTCTATCGCAAAACATTACCGTTACACAACGGTACCATTGCGACCACACCGGTTCATTTTCTGGGCCGTGCATTCTCGTTGGCAACTCACCCAGAATTCATCCCACGAAGTCACGGCACATTGATACATTGTTACCTCATTCCGGTGGCCTAGGTGTAACAGTTGGATGTGAATGAATTCCATGGCACTAGCATTTGTTAAAACAATTTCGATAGTGTTCGCACTCACTTATATCTAGCACAAATTTTGTCGAATATTGAAGTTCAAAAAATATGCATCACATTCAAAAACTATCAATGATTTGTGTCAGTCTATAATTCAATGCTCACGGCACTTCAGGTAGACAATAATATCCATTCTCATTTTTCACGATCAGACTATCAGAAAACCTGTATTTTTCTATCGAGTGTATTCGGCTCTCAGTGTCTACATTTCCCCAATCCGTAAACACATGAGCGTCATTTGGTTATATTGGACAAGTAACCAGAGCACACAATAAATATTTTACTTGCGAGCGCTTACTTGTTCTGAGTTCGTTGAGCAATGAGCTACACGTATCTGCGCAGTGGACTACATGTCCGCCTGACTTCTCGATTATGGACCGTACCTCCTACACTTTTCATTCTATGCTATTCAGTACTTATCAGATCGCCTTTGAGTGATCGAGAAGGAAGAACCGAAGTTAATGTTGCCTCAAAAACAAATCATAGATCGACCACCGGAAAGCTTCATTCACGTGTAGAAGTCTCGAACGGCGCTACGTTCGGTCAAAATGTGTGCAAAAACGATTCACTTCAGTAGTATATAAGGCATGCAACCTTTCACACAAATTGAAAGAAATATGAAATACGATCAAGTTAAAAGAACAAAGGTCGCTCGAGTTCAAAACAAAAAACATCATGGAGAGACAATGATGGCCAGGGTCATCGGTGTATGCGGTGTTGTTTCATACCTGGAACAACACGTGACCAGATCACTTATGGCACAAATAAAGTTCATATTATTTGTTAGATGACAGACAAACAGAAATGCCAGTGCTACGCGCATGCATACCTTGTTCGTTTCGCCAGCGAATGACCCAGAGAAAGTCACCCACTGGAAGTGCTCGGGATTCACACTGAACACCAAGTGACTGCAACACGCCGGGCAACAGGTGTTTTACCTTGTTCAATCTAAATAAAGACGATGCAAATATGGTCGCAAAAAAGACCGGGGAAACAGAGAGGAGACAACAGATGAGATGGTAGGTGTGTACATAGGATCACAATGTGAATGTAATTGAAAACGAATGATAAAGTACGGGAAATTGGAAAGTTTGCTAGGTGAGAAAGATTACGCTCGTTTGTATGGATTACAAGGATTCACTTACAGGTTAAATGTATTGCTTATATATAGGGTTTTAGGCGGTGAAGTATAGTACGGGTAGGGACAATTGGATATCAGATGCGGGTTGTATTGATAAGAATGTTTTCACAGGTTTTGGTGGCATTGCATGAGATTCACAGCATATGTTTATTTCTAATCTCATTGCTTCCACAAAGCGGGGGAAGACCAGCTGCATGTTGTCTGGACAGCCTCTGAGAACGATGACATCATCCACAAATTAGAGGTCCATGAACTAGTTGTACCGTCTAAAGTGCATTCAGCAAAGCCCTGGTTCATCATCCAGTCGATGGCATAGCTGGAGACAGCTAGTTTATTAGATGTGATACGTATATGGAACTATTAACTGGCATCACTATACTTCACATACCTATGGTCGAGTGAGGTTTTACGAAGAACTAAGTAGATCGTGCGTCACCAGCAGTGGCGTTCGTCAAGGGTGCCCTCTCTCACCGTTCCTGTTCAACTTCGTCGAAGTAGAGAAGTGGAGAACGCACGAAGTGGTCTCCAACGCGTAAGTATCGAATGGGCAGCTGGGGAAAAACTGCGATTTGGAGTACACCGATGATATCGTGTCTGTTCGAATTTCTGGAGGACGCGCAAAGCACACTTGATAGACTGGCAAGTGCTGTTGCCACTCTCGGTATGTGAACTGCACCTTCAAAGTGGAAAGTGATGCTGCAGGACTGGGTATTGCCTACTCCCACTCTGAAACTAAACAACCAGGAATTAGTTATGATGGATTACTTTTCCTACTTAGGTAGTTGAATGACCAATGACAGGAGCTCAGCAAACGAGCTACCTGCCCACATTTCCAAGGTTCAAGCATCATATACAGGACAGAAACACCTTAGATGTAGACACGACGTTTCACTGAAGTTGAAAGGTCGTGTTTATTGTACCACCGTTTGTTCAGTTCTGCTTTATGGTTGGGAGACCTGGAATTTGCGAGTAGATACCATCGACTAGAAGTTTTCGATTATTGGTGGGATGGAGCGAACGGGCTAGTAATCTGGAGGTAAGCCGTCGTTTGTTTAGGAGTTTATCAGTGATAAACCTGCGAGCATATCGACTTCAGATTAGTAGACTTCGATGACTAGGGCACATATTGCGTATGCCCAGCCATCGAGGGGTCGCACCGCGCTTTATTCGCCGCTCCGAGCTGGAGGAAACCACGTGGAGGTTAACGGATGACGTTAAGACGAGGCATGAGGAAATGCACAGAACCCTTAGGTAGAGAAGGTGTCATGCGCCTTCCAGGTTGAGGTCCGAAAGACCCCGCAACTGGTTGGTTGGAGACATTGAGGGATATGGCAGCGAACCGACAGCAGTGGCCTTCTTGTTGTCATTTCTTATCAAACCAGAATGCTTGAAACGGTATGTATGCGAAATTCGATTGTGTAATCTGTGCGTTGACCATAGAGGTTCACCTTCTTCTTCATCCCTTAAAGTAAATCCAACCCCTGTCCACCTTGAATTTTACCACTAACCTTGTATGCATTGCGAGTTTGGCAATGATCAGTGAAGTTCACCTGACTGTAATTCACTTAACGATGATGATGGTCACTGGCAATAAAAGACAAAAGTCCAAGATCCAATCCATTTCCTCGAAGGGGATTCCACCACAACATTCAGTCACAACCAACGGTGAGACAGTGTAATTCGTCTACGCTTTCTTGTAACTTTGGTTTATCATACAGTCGAAGGGTCAAACCAATGACGAAATTCAGTCACGTGTTGATTTTGCTAGGAGGATTTCCTTGCAGCTGCACTGATCACTGTGGACACGTAGCAAAATCCACCTCCATTTTGAGGTGCGAGTCTACCGAGCGACTATCCGTCTTCTCCCGAACAAGGGCTGTGAGACATGGTCAATAATCGCTCTCTTCCCAACGTTGTGTTCGAGATGGCACTGTCAGTGCAGTGTTCAAATGAAAAACTAGCTCACCACAGTCAAATAGGATTTGCAGTACCTGGGCTAGAACGCGGTGCACAGCCTCCGATGTTGGAATCAGAATAGGCATTCACTATACGCCGGCCCTGCCGCTCGATGTCGCACACGGGCGGTCATCGTCTGAAATATCACTGAGGCTAAATAATACTCACGCAGAAGATAATCACATGAAATTAAGTGAAGTACAACGCGCTAATCGTGTTTTCTTACACTCCACCAGTATTGCGAATTCGGGAGAAAGTGATCAGACCCAGCCACGGAACACGTCAAGGATCTAATACAGATATAACAGCCCATCACAGAAATTGTAGTCGAACATTAGGTTTAGTGGTGGATTCAACCGTTACCATAGTACTTTGCAGCTGTGTAGCGCAGATTGCGGTTGGTGGTTGCTACCTAACTGCAGGAAAAGTAATGCTGCAATTTCAGTCCACACTCTAAAAAACACATCACCTGGAAGCAAATCATTAATTGGTTTCTGGCTTGAGATTTAGGAAACAAATGATAAACATTTACGGCACCATTGTCAGGAACCTATTTCAACTCACGTGATATGAAAAGATTATCTGCATATATTAAAGAGGGAGGTATCAGTAAACTGTGAAGTGTGATCTCGACTGAGCATATCTGCAATTTTTTCCTTCATTTTATTGAATATACAATGATATGGTTTTTAGGAAGGGGGAAGCGTCCAGCCATAGGACTGCCATTTAACAAACAAATGGAGAAAGTCAGACTATGGCGGTGGGATTCGAACATGTCCTTCGGGATGATCATTTGGTGACGTTACCACCGGGCCACCACCGCCCGGTGATGAATAATAAAATGCTTCACGGTAGGTAGACATCGATTTAATAAAAAATATTTTTGCCAGTTTATAATTACTTTGGCAGGTTAGGAAATTAACTTTGGATATAGTGGAAGATGACAGACCTTAGACAGAATGATTTGTGTACCTAAGAGTAGGCTTTGTTGAGTGAGCTGGTGATGGAGATTGGGTGTGGAGCGCAGTTATTTTTATTGCTCGCCTCATTGTAATGTGCACTATGGGAGAAGGACGTCAATACCAGGAAAATACGACCCCAGTAGAATAAAAAAAGCTGATATTCAATGGTATGTATTTTTCTAGTTATTGAAGTTTCAATGAAAAATTAGCGAATTTCCAATGAGAGTGGTGATACGCCGTCTAGGTCGCGATTGAAATGAATGACAATGTTTTAACTGCTATGTTTATTCTTACGAAAAATTAAGCCATGCGTACTTATTCTGTCCGATACTGAAATTGTACGAAAACCACCACCAAGTGAGAAGAAATAGACTGGCTTACCCAAAATGCTCCCGTACATCGCAAATTAAAATAAGTTCGTACGTTCCGCCGGGCACTATGACAACATCACTACTACTAGAACCGACAGCGATACGATTGAAATAAGTGGCCTGTACGGGTCTATTCTCCGGAGAGATCATTTGTGGTGCGGGTCGGTTTTCCACCAGTTTGGTGATCATCTGTTTTTGGTATTTCGTGTCTGACGGCAAAGTGCTTCCTGAAATCAGTGTGAAGAACAGCAAAGTCGTTTGGGTGAGTGATGAACTCGAAGATGGCACGAACCAAAGCAGGAAAGAAGCATCAATGAGCCAATCCAAAAATTTGTACTAAAGAAAAACAGATTCAGAGATGGATCGCACTTAGCAGAATAATCACCGACCAGGCTCAAAGAACATGGATTTCAATCCATATAAATCACGATGAAGCGGTAGTGTAACACAAGGGATCAAAGAACTGTAGTTCAAAACCATGAAAATGATGAAACGTTTCTCGGGATTTCATTCCAAGTCGAGTTGAAAAAGTAGCCGAGTAATGAAAACAGGATACTAAAGGTTTGGATGTTTAATATGTGCACAACAATGATCAAAGGAAAATTTGCAAACCTTAATTTAGTGATAACAATAATAATAACTGTACATGCATTCCCTAGCTTCATGCCCAATGTCCGTTGGGGAAATTAGGCGTTGAAATACGGTACGTATGTATGTTTAATTGATGACTGAGCATGACCTATGACAACCTCGAGTATTGAACTGGTTTTTACTACGCTGGAATCTACAGGACTAGTTCGGAAAGTGGTTAGAAACTATTGAAAAAAGGCACTGTGAGGTTGTGTATACGTTCATTTTTTACTGGTCTAATCTCTCACTTATCCTCTATGCAAACCTTCTCATTCAAAGATTTATTTGGTGAAAATGAAACTAACATCATAAAGTGAATTTGATGGATGTAAAAACAATCGAACCATCGGATCAACAGAGAATGAAGAGAATAAAAGACAAATGAGCCACATTCGCTATTCATTCTTCGATCAATTTCAACAAAGAGCATGGAAATGGAACCATTCACTTACCCTCGGATTTTGTTCGGTAGAGAGTCATTGTGGGGATCGGATTGGCTGAAAGTGAAGGCGAACGGGGTCGTTTGTTGAGAGGTTCATCTGAATAGGACTGTAGTGGTGGTGGTGGTGATGATGATACAATTGCCGGAGGGGATGGAGTGATGTCTGCTTGGTTCAAGTCACCGGTGCAGCAACTCGGTGCGTCAGGATCCAGCAAGTATGCCACAGTGGAGAAAGTTGAGTCAGCGCTAGACATTTAAACGTGAATAACGAAAGAGATAAGGATGAGTGAATACAATATGAAGCAAAGTACCGGAGGTTTCCAGTTCGTATTCGAAGCACGTATCTTTGTTAAAATCATCTAATAAATCATGAAGGTAGACGGGACAATCAACGCAACTGGGACGCCGCATAATATACCACTCAACTAAAACGGTCAGAGACAACCATGTGTGACTTTTCACATTCAGATTCTTTGATTATTTAAATGAGTGATTGGTTTTCAAGTAAGCTCCGCATTGCTGATTATAGGAACCAATCCACGAAAAGTGATCCCCTGCACACTATAATACGAAGATTCCAGTGGTCATTACGCAAGCTTGTGATGAGGAGACGTTCNNNNTTCTACAGAGCGTAAAACGGTGAAGCAAACTTCACTGAGCGCTGCCGAACTCATAATGCACACAAGATAAGTGAGAATATGTAAAGAGGAAAGCGATTGGACCCATTAATAGGGACGGGAAAAGAAAGCGAACCTCTATGATCAACACAGAGAGTAAACAGTCCAGTTGTGCATACATACATTTGCAAGCATTCTGGTCTGATAAGAAGTGACAGTATGATCGCCATTACTGTTGGTTCGCGGCCATGATCTTCAGTGTTTCCAACCATGCGGTTTCGGAGTCTTTTGGACCCAAACTCGGAAGACCAGAGACGCCTACTCTACCTAATCGCTCTGCGCATTTCTTTATGCCTCGTCTCCACGTCAACTGCTGACCTCCACGTGGCTTTCTCCAGCCTGCAACAGCCACTGCAAACGAGGCGCGCTGCGGTAGGCGACCGTCGGACGTGTCCCAACCAACGGAGTCTATTGAGCTGAATTCGATGCGATAGCGAGTTCTTGCTCGATGCATTCCCAAACACCCGACGACTTACTTCTAAGTTACTAACCTGCTTACCTCATCCAACTTGGGTCAGACTATGTAGGCATCGATTGTCGAACGCTGCTAAACGATAGATGTCTTCTATCCGCAAGTTCAAGGTCTCACAACCGTGAAGCAGAACTGATTGTATAGTGGCGCAGTATGCGCGGCTTTTCAAGTTCAGTGAAACGTCACATCGCCGCCACAGGTGTTTTAGTCCTGCGTACGCTGCTCGAGCCTTGGAAATGCGGACGGTTATCTCCTTCGATGCGCTGTTGTCGTTGGTCACGCAGCTACCTAAGTACGAGAAGCAGTCAACTACAGCTAATTCCTGATCGTCTAGTTTCAGAACAGAACTCGGCGACACCCAGTCCTGTAGCATCACTTTGCACTTTGAAGGTGCAAAGCACACGTCGAACGAAGCGACAGAACTTGCTAATCGGTCAAGTGCTCTTTGAGCATCCTCCATAGATTCGAACAAGCAGACGTTGCCGTCAACGTACTCCAAATCGCACAGCTTTTCTCAAGCTGCCCATTCAATACCTACATTTTGGAGACCACCTAGTACGTTCTCCAGTACTTCGTCTATGGCGAAGTTGAACAGGAATGGCGAAAGAGGGCACCCTTGACGAACACCGCTGCTAGTTACGAACGACCTACTCAGCTAGTCGTGGACCCTTACGCCACCAGAAGTATGTGAGTAGAGTGAACTCAACATGTTTACACACTTCTGCGGCATTCTTTTGCGAAGAAGCGAACCCATAAGGGATTTGCGGTCAACTGAGTCAAAAGTTCCTTTTAGGTCAAGGAACACGACAACCGTTGGTCGACGGGGCGTATGGTGTAGCTCCAGGACTTGACGCAGGGTGAAGATTTATTTGATTGACACACCGGCGGCCTGATCAAAATCCTGCTTGTTGTTCCCGGATGTTTGTCTCCCTAAACGACGTCAGACGTCGAAGTATGATGGAGGCTAGTAACTTGATGACGGTTGGGCTCAAACTTATTCCACGGTATTTTGCGCAGTCGTTGCGAGAACTCTTCTTAAAAATTGGAAAGATCAGCGATTCGCTCCAGGATGATGGAATGCGCCCGTGTAACCAGATGGTACGCAGTAAATTAATAATGGAGTCTACGAGGTCATCGTCCCCTCCTCATTTTGAAAAGAGTGGAGGGAAGCTCGTCCGGTCCGGCTGCTTTTCCTTTCTTCAGGGCTTGGATGCAAGAATGAACTTCTCCTGCAGTAGGGGGGTTCACATGACACTACCCATGGAGCCTCAGCTACAACAGACGATATAGTCTGGTTAGCACCTGGCCAGCTGAACTGTTCGTTGAAGTAATCCGCCCACCAGTCAAGCCGTTGTTTCCTATTCCGAATAGCTTGTCCCATCTTATCACAGACTGTTTCACTAACTGTGGTTCTCCGACCTCGAATGTTGCATATCAGGTGGAACAGGCTTTGACTGTTCCCTGATGCAGCTGCGACTTCTATTACATTAGCTATCGTTGCCCACCAGTTCTCACGATCTTTCTTGAGGCTCTTCTTGAGTTGTCGTTCCAGACGCCACCTACCCCTGCCTTGATTCCGGGCGGTCGGAAATTGCTGCTTTTCTCCATTAGTGCTACCAACAGATCAGATATCCAATGCCTCGGGCGAGCTATCGCTTCAGATCCACAAGCAACTCTCGCAGCGGAGTGCATCGCTCGTCTAATCTGATCCCAGTGTTCATCTACACTACCACCCGCCGAGCGTTTAGCTCTTGCCCTAGTTTTGATTCAAAACGGGCATGAACGGCCGGGTCAGATAAACGATGATCTGTCAACCGTGTTTGGTGGGTTTTGTGACAAGTGAGTTGGAGAGTGAACTGCATCAAAACTAATGCATGATCAGATTCAAAGCAGATGGTCCAATAGGACCTGCAGTTTTGTACTGAGTCACACCGACGGTAGCTTACTGCTATGTGGTCGATTTGAGTTAGCGTACCAGTTAAATCGGAGCGCCTAGTTGTTGTCCGTTGAGAGCTGTGACGGAAGTTGGTGCTGGATAGGACCACATGATGATCTGCGCAGAACTGGAAAAGTCGATCGCCATTATCTGTTCGCTGGCAGGGCAGAGCACAATGACCGCCTAAGAAAGCTTCCGATGCGCTCAGTTTTCCGACTTGAGCGTTCAAATCACCTGCGAGAACAACTATATCGGAGCCTCGGCTCAACCGAATGAGTTCGGTGAGTTTATCATAAAAGTCGTCCTTTTGTGCGTCAGAACTGCAGTTAGTCGGTGCATACGCTGAAATGATGAATAAACACCTTTTGGTGTTGCTTCCTTTCCGGACGCTGACGGACCCTTGGATCCGCATCGCACATAAGCGACTGTTGACGGGGATCTAATCGACAGGTGCGGCTTCGGCTGAGTGAACACACTGGAACCATTGATTAGTTGCTTACTATGTGAGAACAGGAACTAGGCTATGCGCATGCGGACATAACACATAAGCAAGGACACTTCGTTCCTTTAATCTTGTCCTGAAATGTCACGCAACCTTTCGGTATACAGTCGACCGGCGATTTAACAAGTCAAGACATGTTGAGGAGATCTGGTGTCACACAATTAGTTGCTTCTAATATGTCTGGTGTAAAGCACTCAGTTGAGCTAAAACGTGCATGATATGTACGGGTCGCATGGTCGTCTCTGATATCCTCAGTAAATTACGGTTTCCACAAGCAAGGTCTGTTGGCTATAAATGGACGTCCATTTGCAAAAAATTGTAAACGTGCTGTGGAATTTAAGTGGAAAACAGTAGGCGTATTGGTCAGTTGTTCAAGAGTTGTGGGAAAGTGCGTATGTTGGTTTGGCTGCCGAATTGAGTGTTGCACTCAATTCTAGTCACGTTATACTCAAAACAACTATCAAATCGTTAAACAATGCAATCAAATACTTGGATCATAATTTTCTGATTTCTGGAATCATTTGTTTCGCTCATAATCCAGGAATCCCGGAGGTCACCGGTTAACAGTTGATATCTGTCGCTTTTGTCAAACAGTTCGGTCCCACTGATATGCGTCAAAGTTTCACTATTTGAATCACCTTAACCCTCGTCAACACATTCAACCTATCACTGACTACGGCAGAGAAGTGGACTGTCGCCAGATGGCTTGGTTGTTTCAGAACCAATCGCAACACTCACCTGGAGCCAGACCAATCCAAACGATAGCAAAGTCCGGAAGTGATGAGATCCTCGTAGCAACACAGAATACGCAATCCATGCAGCTCGGAATCATCTTCATCCGAGGTGAACTGTTTAGTATGAGCCGAAGCACGGAATCTGGTGGCTTGACAATTCTCGTCAGCATAGAGAAACTTTAACGGATAGCTTGAGAAGAGAACGAGCGAGCGAGAGTGGGGGGAAAATTAGAGCAACTACCGAAAGTAGATTTTGAACTCAGAGGGGATAAAAGTGGACCACCCAAGGAATGTGTTGACAAACTGCGGGGAGAGGGCAAATAGTAATCACTCTTTTTGATCATGGTAGTAGTGATAATGATAAAGTTGAAAATAACGCACCTTATGCATTTGGTTGAGTTAATGCATATTACAGGATGTGAAAAATCGATATAGTTCGATCGAGTCTAAAGCTTCGTTTCTCAACCGTTTCGCACAAACTAACCATCAATCTAGTGGTCATTAGTAACTTCTAATTACTGATAATATCGCCAGAAGTAAAACCAACATTTCTACTTGAGCCTTATGTTATACGAATTTGTGTGTGGGGTCTCAGAGATACTGATGCATTTGGTATATGACATTGGATACGATAATTGTGGTTATTACAGTCACCAATGCAAAATGACCGTCCGATACTCGACTAGTTATTTGGTAAGAAGGTTTTCCATCACTTCAACACACACTTCAACAATAAGTTCGGGCTATTTCGGAAGTAAAGCAGTAGCACATCGCCGACAGTTTCACGTGTTCGATTAAGTGATCTCATTGTACTGTACGTGATGCCCTTAGACTTAAGCTCAGTTTTGTCCCACAAAGCCCATAATCATGTGCTATTAAAGTAAGAACCATAATGGGAAAACCACTTCAGGGTCAGGAACAACCAAGCACGTGAAAAATAAATGAAAAGCAAAACCCAAGCACTTGAAGTGTTATACTGGTCAACACTAAGATAACATCGTCATGATGTTGCGCTGAACGATAGAGCAGGAATCTACGACTAAAATTAGCTAGCGCTAGTGAGGTTTAGACATTAAGATATCAGGACTAGTGCGTCCCAGATCACTTGTTCACTGCTCCTAGATTCTACAGTGGGCGGAAGTCCCAGTCGGTTTTAAAAAGCGGTGTTGCAGTGTAACGATTTCTCAGCCTTTCATTAGCAAGGTTCGAAAATTTGTTAAAGTAGGAGCAAACGTCTCATAATCTACTGCGATTGTTATGCGGTCAAAAATGGAGTAAGTTGATCAGTTCTTATTCTGATGACCTTATCGAATTTCTTGTACTAGGTGGGGCCAGCATATAAAAAAATACTGAAGCACTAATAGACACGTGTAAAATTATGATCTGTGGGAAGCATATTGGCCACTGAATTCTCGCGGTGTTTCACTAAGCCACTTACTCTGCAACATCCACCGAATGAACAGCTTCTGACCGGATGTCTACCGAATCACAATTCAACTGTGGGGCATTGGGAGGTGGGGAATCTGTCGGACCAAGTGGCCAAATATAGCGGGTGGAGAGCGATTGACTCAAAAGAGAAATCAGGTGTATAACAGACCAAATCAGGGAAAAAACTTCGGTATCCACCCATACGGGAGGTGCAAACGTTTCTGAGAAAAAATATTGTTTTATCAATAACAGTTTCCCTGACCTGAAAAATGACAATCAAGCAACTAAATACAACTAATCCAGAAAGGCAAAAATAATTAACCTACTCATCGTCAAACTTATAGTGGTGCGGGAACGACGGAAGTTTTGTGAAGTGGACTTAAGGGTTCTTATAACCTTCCCGAGTGGAACCAATACCTGCAATGTACACGTTACACAAGTTCCTTGTGAATGTAAATTAATTAAAACGATTATTACGACAAACAACACTCAATTCCGTTCCTGTGTGATAAACGTTACAACGACCCCTGAGGGTTCGTTCCTCACACCACCAATAAACAAGTCAAGATCACACTCCTCGAATGGCGCCTGACTGCGAGTATAGATCGACCCACTGTTTCATTGATCTATATGCATCTCGTGTTTGTATTGCAAATTGACCCGACAGAAATACAGTCATCCCGGTCTAGTTCAGTGACTTGTTTTTCTTGATAAGAGGAAATCAGACCACGGGTATCTCAAGACAAGAATATCGACCGAAGACAGCACTTTTAGCCTCCATTCACAAACGGACAATAGGTAAAATGGCACATTCATTTTTTTACATAATGTGAATTACAGTAAAGGGGAAATCTCCATAGACAAATCACATACTGCAAAAGCGAGAATATGGGAACCTTCACATAAGATCCAGTTTACTGATTCTGTGCTTAAANTCCAAAGCTTGGCAGTTCGGGGAAAAAAGAAGATTGCAGCAGAGAAGTACGACATCTGGGAACATAAATCTGATAAGGATGACTAGATGCCTGTGTACGAGATGGTTGGGTAAAAGTTGCAGGAAGAGGAACTGCCGATGCAAGTTCTGAAGAACTAGAAACATAGTAGCGGTAGAACAGGGACAATGAAGCAACTGCCCGACGATGGGCTAGTGATTGCAGACTGGATGTTAGGGAAAGGTCATCCACTGGTCGGTTGGCCCTTCGTTGAACACGATAACAAGGGAAAGAGAAGAAGTCGAAGCCCCACTCCACACGTGATGACAGTATTCAAGTGCAGGGCGGATTTTAGCTTTGAACAATAGATGAGCTGCAGTGAACAAACGTCTGGCGCGAAATAGAAATCTAACATTGCGCGCAACATGAGAAGCAAGCTTAGCTATAAAAGGGGACCAGCATGAATAAGAAGTTACAGACAATCTAAGAAGGGAAACAGAGTCCGTGGAATGCAGTTGGGTGGAATTAAAAGATAAATGGGGAGAACGAATGGTGTTTTAAAGAAATTGAACGAAGAGAGGTTTTAGAACTATTAAATGAAACGTGGTTTGCAATGCCCCAGGAGATGTGTTCGAGATCGGAGTCCAAAGGCATATTAACTGCATTACGGTAACCATCGATGTTGGTTTGGGCACGGCGAGCAGTGCAGTAGCAGAGGGAGCCGTAGAGGGTGGCGTCATCAGTAAAAGAAAGGATCGGATTGACAGTTTTGGAAAGGATATCATTGATGAATAGAAAAAGAAGGTAGGCGCAAATACTGAATCTTGGAGAACACCAAGGTTCACAGGGAATCGCTGAGATAGAACCCCATCAACTCGGACGGAGATGGTTCGCTTACTGAGGAAACGCGATATCCACGCTTTTAGCGCCGGAGGGAACCCGAACATGGACGAGACCAAGTTTTCGGCTTTAGGGCGAACGAAGCATTCTTCGGTTCTATGAATGGTCGTCGAGCAGCTGTTCCTGGCTCGCGCGAAGCGACGGCGAGAGAGGGTGGTGGGCGAGCGGTGCCAGCGGCGGAAGGCTGAACGTTTCAGGCGTACAGCACGGTCGCATGCATGGTTAAACCACTCAGGGGATTTGGATTTGCCGGGTTTGGAAAAGTGCGGAATAAAAATATGCATACCTTGAAGAACAACGTCGGTGAAGTTGGAAAAAGATTTTGAAACGTCCAAAGAGAAACAACAGTCATTCCAGGGATAAGCGACTAGGAAATCACGGAAACAGTCTCAGTTAGCTGAGTTACAGCGCCAGAATGTGCGTAGCTTGAGGTGGGTGGTAGCTTCGCGTCCCAAAGGAGAAGTAGCAGATGAATGTGTCAACCAGTCCTGATTATGAACTTTAAAATCTCCCAAGATGGTAACATAGCAGTTGGATTCGGTCGCAAGCAAGTGCTCAATGTTCGAAGATGAGAAATCAAAAATGAAAGAGTCAAAACTATTGAAGGAACGATAAAGAACAAAAACGTACTGATTAAAGGAAGGAAGTTGGAGCTTCAGCCACATCAGCCGAAATTCATGATTGGAAAAGTCAAGATTTGAGATCCTGGAGGTGGCAACGGATTGATCAAAAGCGCAGACACCAGCCTTGGGTAGAAAGGAAGAATGGATAGTGTAGTTGGGGAGTTGAAGGTGGGTGGTGTCTGACGAGGGAGGAAATTTGTGTTTCGGTCAAGAAAAGGGCGAGCGGATAAGAAGAATGGAGAAAATGGTGTACAGCATCGATATTGCGGTCAAGTCCGAGAATGTTGGTGAGGGGAATGAGTGCATGATTCCAGTGTGAGTGCGTAGAGCGAGCGAGAGAACGCGAGTGTTCGTGATTTTGTACTGTCGTGTTTATGTTGTGAGGAAAACGACAACCATGATCCTGAAACTTGGAGTGGCGGACCACATAAGGAAGGCTTCAATAGGTCAGGCGTGGTAGTAAGCCAGACACTATTGTTTTCTTTAGTGTTCATATTAGGGTCGCCAGAAATCTTGAGTATTACGACGGATTCCGTTGTTCAAGCGCATTCAAACCCAATCAGATAGACACAACATTCAAGTTCGGCCAGACGTTAATCGATCTAGTAGGTACTTGTAGAATTTAATTGGTATGATCCAATCAAGTGTATAATACAAGTAGCAGAACCCAGTGGAATCCGTCCGCGAGAAATTGGTACATCTGCAGCTGGAAACGATATCAACAGATACGATAATCTCAAACGCATTATTTAATTATAAACCACTCAACCGACGTCTTGGACTAGGATAGGTGAGCGGCGGCAAAACTTCAGTTGGACGAGCAGATTGTATTGTTGTGCACCTTTCGTAGGCACAAAAATATTTTTTTTATCACACACCTAGGTATGATGAATCGCAGACGGGGTAAACCCCATAGTCACGAGGATCTGCTGTTCAGTGGTTGAAATCGGCAACCTAAGCCCCGGAACTTGGAGTGGCGAACCACATAAGGCCCCGATAGGTTAGGCGTGGTATTGAACCGAACGACAGCAGAGCTGCCTACCACCAAAGTCGGGTGGCGGTGGCGGGGCTCGAACCTCGGACCATAGGGTCCAAAGTACGCCGATGACAGCGACTAAACCACTGCGCCACCACCACCCTGTATACATACTAACCGTCATATTGAATACATTACACAGGAAAAATTGGCTGATCGATATCGTAAAAACAAGGTGAAGTTTATTATTATCCTCTGCCTCTCGATTTGAGTCTATATGCAAGATGGGACACGTGAATTTTGGCAGAGACAGTGTGCCGAAATCCGAATGGCATGAAGGGATACGAATAAGAACATGGTAATCGAGTGTGTGGTGAGTGATCCGAGTCTGCAAGAATCTTTTCCGAAAAACTGACAAGAGGTTATGTGATGGCCTGGTAGCTTCACAATTAAATCATGAGAAAATTTAGAAAATCCGACTAATAAGGGTTAGATTGCGACTTGTGACTTTGAACTCTTGAGTAAACCCGGAAAAATCACCGAACAACATTGCAGTAAGTTAAGGAAAACACACTGGTGTACGAGAAGAAAAATGAATGATTGTAAAGAGCAAAGTTATCAGAGGTTTCAAATTTGAAATGCTGGACATAACATAATTTGGACGCGAGTTCAATAACGGAGATTGTTGTTGTGATCTCAACGCATCTGGCAAAGTTCACTCTAGATAAATGTGCTAAGTGTTACTGTGTGGTCTGTCTGAAAATAAATGCATGAGCGACCAAAAAAACATGCAACGCATTCAATAGGATAATATAGTTGATATCGTCGAGTACAGAGCAAAGAAAGCCTGAAGTGAATAGCTAGGAACTACTGGACAGCTGCTTCGATCTGCTTGGTTTCATCGGCAGTGAGAATCCATAGACCCAACTGTACCCGACGAAATTGCCCACGTAACCAAATCACATTCTCCATCACCTTCTTTTCTCATTTGCTATAATTTAAACTTGGATCCCATTGGGAGAGGGAAAACTGAATTTGAGATAGCCTGACTAATCGGGCTCTCTGGGTGGGCTCCTTGACTATTTTCTATTGCTTCATTCTGTTTTTTTCTTTTCAAGTGAACTGGCAGAGTTATATCCTGAAAGAAGTGAAATTGCATGCATACACCACAATCATCTACCAAGAGTTATTTTTCTAAGTAAAAAGCATACGCCCTCTGACCTGTCGCGTTATTCCGTGTGCAGCGCACAGAGACCGTTTATCATTCAGAGAAGCTATATTCGGGTTCATTCGTCGCGGGATTCATTGAGCATAACGTTCATGTGTGGTTCCAGACCAGATCAAGAACTGATTTATTAAGAAGTTTAACAGTCGACATAATGAACTCACCTTTATGGGAGTGTTCTACAGTTGACTGGGGTAGAGAACATGTATCGGAAGAATCGGACACATCAATGACAGTCAAACGGTACCTTCAAAAAAAAGCGAAAAAAAGGGTACAATGTGTTATGGTGTACTGGAGAGACATATCAAAACACCCAGATTCGACTATACAGGATAACGCAAGCAAAACAGGGGAGCTAATTAAATAACGTGCGGAGAAAAAACTACAATGAACTGGTTCGTTCCAAATCTATGCGATACTATGAGAGTAGATCTACCCTCCTTTTTGGTCGCGTGCGGAATGAGCTGTAATTGCCGACAGGATGCATTTGGATGAAATACATACTACGCATCGTTTAGAGAGCCTTTGGAACTATCCACATGCCAGATGAAACGTCACAAAATAGACAATGTTGTAATGGTCCACAGAGAGAGTGCAAACATGTCACCATGAAGGCTGCAACCAACTATGCGGGCAGGTATGTGCACTGTTCGACTCAGTGGCAGATATTCATTGTGGGTATTGACCTCGTGAGAATGAAACGCTTGCCTCATGAAGAAAATCAGTTCACATAGAATCCTCCGATAACCACCAATAACCGTGGACTGACTGATGAAAATCGTAGTGTGTACTACTGTGTTCCTGACCTTGGTTGATGCGTACCGACAAAGTAGGAATGATCAAACAACTAAGTAATTAACTAAGACATCACTGGATCTATCCGAACAGATCACGGGTGATAAAAATTAACGACTTACCTCTCCGGATAAGTGTCGGACTTTACGACATGACCCCTGTCTATCAATTCGTTTAGCATGGATAAAACCGAAGCATTTGTTATCTGAAACGAAAACAGCAAAGCAATGACCGTCACGGGTGGAATACCTGATGCTTAAAAAGACAAACGAACTCCTAAAACGACATCAGCTCGTGCCCATCCCCTCTGGAAGAGAACAATTGAGCTGGACTGAATAAACGACGAGGAAAAAGTTGTCAAAACAAAAAAACACAATCCAAACCACCAAAGCCAATACCTGGTCGGAATTTATAACAAACACTTTCAGAAAAACTTGATTACCTCATGATGTAGTTGACATCCCTTATTCTGCACCATCGGCAAACCACTGGGCCGTTTATATTTGTTGACCCCTGTTGTTTATATCGCTCGATGTTTAAAAACCGCAAGCTGTAGTGTAAGTCTGTAAAGACGGGAGGACTCGCCAATTATTCTTTCTGCTTTCTGTTTCCTTGATTTATACGATTTTGCAACCCATAGAAGATCGCTGTATTTGGCTAGTGAATGATGCACCGAAAACGAGCTTGTTTGCCAAATTGACTTCTTGATTCGTTAATTAATACCTTACCGAAACTCGTTTCATACTTCGTTCGAATTCGTAACAGGAAAAATCGTGATTTCAACACAATCTAACTGGAAAAAATAAGGCCTAATGCGACACAGAACATTCGGGGATGTGTTCGCTGCATTAAAGATTGTAATCAATTGGTTTATCTGAATAGGCGTGCAAGTTAAGTTCTGTTTCAACGCAATTTAACGTCGTTTTTTATTCAAACAAAAGACACGGGAACCCTAACAGTTTATCGAATCGATGCACAGTCCACAGTAGCACTTACTGAATGTGAGGTGCGTAGACAAGCAGCCAACTCATACAAAGCACAACCTTCCGGGTTCTGAGACGTGCGAAGCACTGTGAGTAGTCGGTTGTGACTGTCCGTAAACTTCTTAGACTCGCAAACCACCCCGACCGACGGGTTAGATACTACGGCGGATCGGACTGCCGTCAGATTGGACGAATGAAAGCCTGGCGCTGTCTCGACCTGGCTCGCACTGAGACTACGGGTCAGACTGGATCTCAGGTGCTAATGGTAACCAACAAAAGTATGCGATGATAGTGATGAATGGTTGTAACAGAAAGTACACCGAAATAAATGCACATGTTTGTCAAAAATATGCATGTAAGTGTTGCTCGTCATGTGTGCCATGCTGTGTGACAAAACACTTTGGCCAGTTCCGTATGCAAATCAAGCATCTAAGGATAACAGGTCACTTGTTTTCCAACCAATCAGATTGAGCTGGAAAAGTTGCAGTTCGATTACAACGAATGGATAAATCAGCACCATTTGTCGACCATTGTCAGACTTCATTGAACAGATTTTCGGAGACAGGTAAGTGCGGTGTATTTGATGACATAAAATATCAGCTGGCATTATTTGAATTTCCTGTTGGGGGGATCACAACGGTTTATCGAGAGAATTTACCCGTAGATATTATTGCCAGCCGTGAAAGAGATCACTAGATATAGCGTTTCCTAGCCGAATGAAGAGTAGGAAGCTTCAGAGGTCATATTGGTTTGGGTCGTAAAAAGATGGATAACACAAGATAAAGACAGAAACAGTAAACTAGGTGAAAATAGGATGTTGGCGAATGTAGTCAGACAAAGTTGAATCGGATGACTTTAACTACTGGTTATTTAACGTCATGCCATGTCAAGGGGTTGTCCATTATTGATGAATGAAGTGGTGTAGAGCTAACAATTGAGACTAATGAGGCGGATTCCGTTGGCCGATTGCATAGTGATCTGGTTTGGAACTGCGTTGTTGGATACGAATTATGGGCAACTTTAGATCTTTTGGTTTTATTCCTACTATACCATTTTAAGATTGATTTGAGGAACTATCACTTTGAATTCAGAAAGAAACGCTATGGTTGGATTCGCTTCCGTTCAGCACACCTCATTGGTTAATTGATCAAACGTTTTTTCTACTCTTCTATTGACAACCTGTCTTCTTCCCACGCTCTAACCGTGTTGGAATGACTTTTAACTAATACTGACGACAAGACAATAGACCTTTTCTTTTTTTAGGTATAGAAGTGTTGCAAACATCACGCCAGTTAGTCTATCCGATTGATTGTAACTGACTTCGTGGACAAATCCTATATAAAAAATACTGATGTTCATTTCCGTCGAATTACCTTGCATTTCTGCCGGGAGATTGCCAGTTTATTCTTAGTATCCCCACATTGGCCATTACTTGTTCGCTCAATCTGCTTGCTAATCGCTTGAGACAAAAAATGTCCACCATAATGTTAACAACGCAGCAATAAAACGACTAACATCAAACGAATCGACTGTGCTCTGTTTTGTTCACTTTACTTGTTTTGAGCCAGGAATGGGGCGATCAATAGTTAAGGCATAAATGGTTGTGATTGCTAGGTTATTGATGAAAGATTATATGGCACCTTGGGCACTCGTTCCAAGGTGAACTGCAACCGAGGTTTCGGTAGATTGTGCTATTTTAAAAGGGTGAAAACCACAATTGGTGACGGTATAAACCGTAAGAGAACGGACTATTGACTACCACCACCCGGCTTGGCTGAATAGTGGGGTGAGTAGGACTATCAACGGTTCGATTGTTTCACACCTAGTAGAGTCAAACCACGTGGTTGATGTGGCGTTTTGACTCTTCTACTTAGTTCGCCGACGTCGATCAAAGGGGCTTAGGAGTCGCATTCTGGTTACAGCGGAAGCCATTGGAATCCGTCTACATACCCTCCCCCTATGCTCCCAAAAACAATTCCTAAGATCACTCGGTGTTCCATGGCCAACACACACAATACCCGCCCCTTATGACTCAAACCAATGCGTAGGTGTGATGGCCAAAGTGTGAGCAACATCCGGTCATGCAGCTGGAATACTGATTATTTGTCTTCTAATTTTGTCATGTTTTCTACCCCCCCCCCTACTAAAATTTTTGACATAAACTGTGATGTATTAGCCTGTAGACGAATCACTGCAAACGAGCTTATTCGATATTGTGCCTTTTTTTAACGACGGTTTATTCCGACTATCGACTATCTCGAATGGGCGATGTTAAACAGTTCAGCATTATATACCATTTATTTACCACTTTCATGATATGGCCCTTATTTCACGTTGGCTACCCCATTCGAGAAGGTGAACCGGATTCTCGAATGCCTCAAATGGTGGGTGTCAACACGGTTTGTAAGGAAGTGAGGAATAAAAGGTACTTCACATCGGTCTCACTGGTTCCAACAAGGTTTTCAGCCAACCGTCCTCAGCAATACTCAAAATTACTTAACTGGTCCTTGAAAACAGATCTTATAGAAGCAGAATGGAAGTTACTGAGATTGGAGGATGAAGCCAATTGAAAATGGGAAAACCACTGTTTTTTAATTATTAAGAAATGTACGAAACTGAAGAAAAAAGGAGTAAATGGTGAATGTTTATGGTTAAATTTGGAGTGTGTTTTCAGGAAGATAGAGAAATACTGTCCAGCCCAAGAGGCTGGTATATGTTTAGTGACCGAATAAGTAGGCGAATCCTCGCGCTGGCGGTGACGTGAAATGAGAAAGCAACAGACTAGAGTAACAAGAAGAACCATGTCTTACGTTTTCCATGCAGGACTGTATAGAATTGGAAACATTGGAGAGAGCCTCAAAAGCGAATACATTTCCTCTAGTAACTGAGAGCAAATTAAACCGTTCTGAAGTACACAGCAGTTCAGATTGGGTTCAGTTTCGATTTCCTCAAATATGATTTCCTGCTTTGTGTAAGCTGTTTGAGATGGAACAATAAGGTCAATACGAATATAATGTTCAACTTTCTGTATTACATTATCTATTATTCCATGCATAGTGGTTATGCGGCTGCTGAATACTCACTCGTCGAAATGGATTACTTGGCCTGATTTGAATTTAACATCGAACCACACCAAAAAACTNTGCGGATTGCGTAAACGACACTCGTCGACTGTCTCAAAATACACACGAAGATAACTATCGTCCTCTGATACACCCATGATAATTAGAACTTATCAAATATTAAGTTAAGTTGCATTTACGTACATGTTCCTCTGTGAGAATGTGATTTCATTTTACCATTCAACGTTTCAGCCCCATTCACCATGAGCGCGGAGGATGATGGTGGACTGGGACGATTCGGGACAACAAACAATTATCTGTTTGTATTCATGATTGTGGGCCTCATAACCCTGTTTCCTTTGGTGATATTAACTGCTGTGATCACTTTCAAAGCTAATATGCCTCGAGTATGTCGTTTCGTTTGTCTCTGTGCCACACTGACCTTGGCATCAGCCGTAGCAGCTATGCTACTCCTGTATTTCGCTCTGGGACCACTTGATCTGAATCTCACTCGGGGAGACCAGATAATGGAGGGCCAATTGACGGACGGACGTGTGATGGGAGCGCACCGTGTACGAGCATGGGCCTGTGAAAGTCTGTCTATCTATGCGAATCGTTTGGGTGTGGTCATGTGGGCAATCAGTGTCTCGCCAAATCGGGGCCCCGCGGAGAATCACAGTGTGACACTGCAGAACTGGTCGCTGCCAGCGCAACTACGTTTTCGTCTGAACAGAGGGGATGAATTTGGCATCCGGAACCAGACAGGACCGGTCACGGTAGTGGCCCTGAAAAGTATGGGGGAATACGAGAAGTGGAACAAAGCCGGCGTGTACCAACCGGGCTACGAGAAGTGTTGTGCTTGGAATGTGTTTGAACCGAACACTTCGAACCCACGAAAGCTAACCGCTGATGCCGATGACGTTTACTCTTTGATCATTCGTGAACAGTACGAGTTCCGAAGTACACGGGATATCGGGTCTCACAACGAAACCTTGTTCAATGGAGCAGTTGAGTTTAATCGAGTCAGATGGGTTCCGACACCGTGTGATCCTATCATCTGTGACGGCACCTTGCGTACTTGTCGAACTGGAAATACACCAGAACGCTACATAATTGAATATGCTCTGCATCCGATGAGTGCCCCACCTTATGATGTAGTCGACATTCGCATTGTGTGTCNTCACCCAAGGCATTGGGCCTTAGGCATGTTGTTTAGCCTTGTGCCGTTGCTCATCGTCTCAATGGCACTGGCTGTTTGGCGATATCGCGTTAAACAGGCAAAACAATTGCAGTACATGAACAATGAACTGGAACACACACCTCAACCGATTTTTCAGAACAGTCAATCAAATAAATACAATGAAGCTTATCACGCGCAAAATCCGGCATTCGAACTAGATCTCGTCTAGTCTGTGCAAACCTACCTGATCCGTTGAATTTTCTGTTGTGGAATTCATTGAACGGAAAGTGTTGTTTCCCAATATTACTGCCTCTGATGGTGTCACACCCAGTTCCTCCGCGTATTTTGCTAATTTCTCATCCAAAAAATCACATAATTTTGGACCGAAACCTTCCAGAATACGACATTCTTTACCACTCCGTAACACCAAAGGATATTTCTTCAATGAAGACAAAGCCTGTAGAGATCGATTCCTTAATGTCCAATGAAATTACCTTTTTGTATGCGTGATACGACTTCAGCTCCCGGGTGAATGCATCCTCCATAGCTTTGGTTAACCAGGTTTGAAATAAAAAATTTTGCGAAACATCTTTTCGCCTGCTTTTGATTGGTCTGCTGGAAAGCATTAGGCCGATATTCTAGGTAGATGGGAGTGAAATAAAAGTGGCAAACCAGTTACCATCCCGGAAAATATGGAAATAATAGATTATATATA